TTTCATTTAATAAGAAGCCCATCCCCTTAGGCAACTAATGAGTGAGTGCGTGAGCGTGTGTGTATGTGTGTCTGAGAGAGAGAGAGAGAGAGAGAGAGAGAGAGAGAGAGAGAGAGAGGAAGAATTCTACAGAAAGAAAGCTAGGTTTTGGTTACTTTGATTCATTTTCTACTATTGGCTCAATTCTGAAAGATGTCTGGATCAAGATATGTTATATTATATTTATCTCGGTTATTAAAAATTCTGAAATTTTAGGATTTTATTTAATTAAATTATAATTTTATACCCTAAAACTGAGAATAAGTTCACACTATATATGATTCTTTGGAGCTATGATTTCATTTATTTGCTCTTTCAGGATTTGTAGTAATGTACTATAGTGTATCATTATATACACATCTTGATGATAAATGTAAAAAAATGGATGAGTTTATTTTTCTTCTTCCTAGAAGTTCATTAGAAGCTATTTAGTTTTATTTATTTTGAAGAAATCTGATAAAGTCTCAAAAATAGTAGTCTGTGTCCATTCTACACGATATGACATGTCCTATTTGTGGGTTATATCTACTTTGGTTTTCACTTAAGGGTAATGAACTGTTCAGTACAATTGATAACAGGCAAAACTTTAGACTTTTTTCTATAAAATAATAACTAAATGAAGGAGTAGAGACTTGAACTCATTACCTTAATGTTATCAATAAAAGTATGAACCACTAGATCTAGACATGCTAATTCATTATGAATTAACAGTTACATGCCTTTATTTGCTACCTTTAAATTTGGACCACACAGGTTTGTGTGTTTCTTCATAAACTAACATTAATTATGTTGTGTCTATTATTTTTGTAGTATTTATGCCTATTTTCTTATTCATATAGAGGATGCAACCCTGCACAAATTAGTTAAGGTTATCCAATAACAATCAATAATTGAAAATAAAATAGTTATCACTTGTTGTAATTAACAAATAATGAATTGCCCTTTTAGGTTAAGCAAGTGGCGGGATAAGCTCTAGTTGACTAATACACTTACTTGAAGAAGCAACATACATAAACAATATGTAATATAGTTACTTCTATTTTATAAGCTCTCTAGCTAATTTGTTCATCTGTTATGATGATGATATTGTTTTGATGATATTTTAAATAAATTTAAAATGGGAATTAGATTTTGTTTTTAAATTCACTTATTCATTTCTAAAATGACTTATTAAAAGGACAAGATAATTAGATAACAAAGCTTTTGCAATTTTTGATGACCTATGAATGGGATGATTTGCAAAAATTCTTAGCGTCATTAAGGGTGTGATTATTGCTTTTCCAATTCATTAAGAGAATTAGATAACTAGTCACTTATGTCTGCCTACTTCAAATTTGATTTTATTCTTAATGTCAGTGTCGCATTCGATCACAACATAATGCATAAGGGAGTTATATATTCATGAATTGTGACAACGATGAAGGAAGGAAAGTGTTAGGAAGTCAATAATAGCAAGCAATCATGAGATGTTGGGGAGAAGAATGCTATAAGAGGAGAAGCTATTGGTTGCATGAATAGGTGGAGTAATTTAGAAAGCTTCTTGAAGTGGTTCATCATGTTAGATTTTAAAAAAATAAAACACCTCCATGCCACATTGCAATGTCGCTTGTTTTCCCTTCACAAGCTGAAAAAACTGTCATTTGTATGAACTATCGTACTTTAATCCTTAACAAAAATGGAGTTCTTGGTTGTCAATTAAAAAAATCGATACTTAAATTTCCCCAAATGGATCCCCCTACTGAAAGTGGAGTGTATGAAAAGGTGTCTTTCCCATGTCTTTTATATGTTTGACATATAGAGCATCTCTTTGTAAATCTTGAGATGTCTCGATATAAATGGGTCCAATAAAATTGACACTGGATTTTTGCTAGTCTTCCCCAGCCAACAAGGGAAGCAAGTGAATTTCTTTTATTTATTATCGCATCGAAGAAGCTTGAGGAATACAAAGACCCTTAAATAAAAATCCATGGCACAGGTTATAATAGCTAGTTTGAGTCCTGACAAATCATAAGTTTCATAGTTCAACAAAGTTTGCATCGAAGTCATAAATTTTGTTCATTTCCTACAAGGTAGTGTTTCCATTTATAACTTTGTGAATAGAGTAGCACATAAACTAAGTACATCCTCCACACGATTCAATTTATCAGCCTTGTGTGGAACTTCTACATAAAGATGTCACATTTAATACATATCATGTTGATAGTTTTCTAGTTATTAATGTATTAAAGAGATTAGTAGTTGCTACATAGTAGAAAAAATTGATGAAGAAGATAGTGTTCTCAAGGATTTAGTGCTCGAATGATTGCAAATAACTTTTACTCTTATACATTTGATTTTTATCTCATGGAATTCAATCTTCATTGAAAATTCAACTGCCTTAATTTCTTGAGAAAAGATTGCTCCAATTCCTTACGAAAATGCATCTGTGTCTATGCAAAATATACTTGCTTTATGGTTTCAAAACTATGTTGTTGTTCTAAAGTCTACTTAAAGGAACTAGCTTTCAAACAATCAATGATTAGGGCCATTATAAGACTAAATTTTTAATAAAACATTAGTAGAAATTCACCAAACCATGGAAGGTGCATACACCAAATAAACTATGAGACATTAAACTTTTTTTCTTAGCAAAACCTTTCAAGGATTTATTCAAACACCTTCGTGAGATGAAACAAAACCCAATAAATGCATGATAGATGTTGAAAACTCACACTTGGGTAAATTAAGATAAAGTTTATGGTCGTAGAGGAACTCAAAGATATAATTTAAGTGGTGAACAAGTTTAACAATGATGGCACTATATATGAGGTTGTTGTCGAAATATGCAACACATCAGTTTGCCAAGAAAGGGTGAAGCACTTCATTTATATGTTGCATAAATGTTGAGGGTGTGTTATAAAGTCCAAAAGGTATCACCTTCTACTCATTTAATCATTCTAAGATCTTAAAAGGGTTGTCAACCATTAATCAACTGGCCCAGTTCGTATACAAATTTGGTGGCACCCACTTCACATGTCTAATTTAGAAAAAAAGAAGCCCATGCAAGTCTATCCAATAAATCAGCCACTCTTGGTATTGGAAAATTGTACTTAATAATAGTTATATTATTGCTCGATTATTAATTCACATTCTCCTTTATCCATCCTTATCTAGGAGAATTAGTGTGTGCGACTACCACACAGGGAATTAAATGAGATGAATTAATTATATTAGCTAAATTTTTTCAACCATTTCTTGTAGAATAGAGTTCTATTTATAACTCCATCAGTGATGTGGTAGGTTAGGTAGAGTAGCACTAAGAACAAACTAAATTTGGTGTTGTATGGTGTGTAGAGGAGGCAACTGAGATGCAAATTCAAAGGGAATAAGATGGAATATCCCAAACTCTTAACAATGAATTTATTGTTCCCTTTGTCCCAATGGCCTCATGATTTTTTTCTTGTTGATGTAAATTCCTAGGAGGTCACCATCTCATAATTGCTCCCACACGAGCATGATTAACTTTGAAGTTTATTAATGAATCTATAGCCATTACACCAAAAGGTTCCTTAATATTTAAGAGTTTTACTACTTTTTACTTAATTTATTTAGTAGTTATCTCCACTTAAACAATTAAAATCCTTATCCCAAAAATCATCCACTAGATAGATAAAAATTTTCAGATGGTCAGTATGATCTCAATTGGTGTTTCCTATCATATAGCACATTGTCCCATGTAATGTTCAAGAGGTGGACCACATGCCATAGCGTTTTATCTTGTATGTCACTTAATTTAAATTTTATTGTTGTTGTATTGCTTTGATAACATTTTTTAATTTCTCAAACTCTTAACAAAAAAGTTATTGTCTACTTTGGCCTACTTCCCTCTCTATTTTTTCCCGTTAATATAACTTCCCAGGAGTTAACCCATTTAAGGATTGCACTGCTAAGAGAAAAATTATATTTGGAGTTACTTAATAGAATTTCAATAATTACAGTACCAAGTGCCCCCTCATATTTCTAAATGGCTGGTTGACTAGATTGCATAAAGATGTAAAGTATTTCAAATGGATGTGTTTTGAAATTTTTGGTATTTGATTGGACGAAAAAGAAAAGTAAATTAAAGCAAAGTAAATATAGTATAAATAATTCTAGTTTATTTTTGAGGTAATAAAACTCATCCAATTTTAAGTGATAATGAATATGATGTAAGTGATAATGGTTTATAGTGTCCACCACTGCCGCCACCTGCCAGCCACCACCACTGCTAGCCGCCATCCTCTACCATCGTCGGCCGCCACTCACCATCATCGCCGCCAACATCGTCGTCGCCCTCCCATCCGCCGACACCCTCCTCTGCCTGTTGCCAGCCACCCGTCTGTCACTACCGTTGCCACCCACCTGCCACCATCATCACCACCACTCGCAGTCACCAACAACAACCAACAACCACCGCCAACCACCTCCATCATCTATCATTAGTAGTCATATTTAAACTTTATACTATATTTATTTTATTTTACACCAAATAAAAATATTCATATGAATTTATTTTATATATATTCAAACAATTTCAAAACATTAATTTTAGGTTGCATTTCTATTTTTTAACCAACTAAACATCCCCTAATAGCCAAGCCTTCTAATTTCCATAAGCCTACAACTTACTATTTATGATGGAACAAAAAAAGCTGAGAGGTAAGCTTACCTTAGTTGTATCCTATTCCATAAATAGGAAGTTGGCGGTGCCTTATCAATCCAATTGAATGAAAGGGATATCCCTTCACCTCTCCCTTATTCAATTGCACAAAAGAAGGTATGCAAATAGAGCCCTTCAAAAGGACATTCTAATCCATATCATCCAATCGAATATTAATATATATTTATTATGCAATTAGACTCTATACATTGCACAATTGGTGACCGTACCCTCCAAGTAATTAACACGCTTAGGTCTTCTTTAGTAGGTTAATTAAGGCCTAATTAAGTCCCCGACTTCCTCATCTGTTCGGCCTGCCCTCTGCTTTCTCCTCTCCCTCTCTCCTCTCCGCCTTGTTGTACGTTATGGTCGCCTTGCCTTACCTTCCCTACAGAAGGGCCGAGTAGCCCCTGCCGCCGTTAACTTTCCGTTAACTGATTGCTCGGATGGAAATTGCCGCGTTGACGTCGGCCGCTAACGGCGGCGAAGCTTGCCGGCCGCCGCGGCTTCCGCGGTGGACGCGGCAGGAGATCCTCGTTCTCATACAAGGTAAGAGGGTGGTGGAAAGCCGAGGGAGAGGGCGCGCGTCGACGTCGGCGGCGGCGGCGGAGCCGAAGTGGGCGGCAGTTTCGACTTACTGTCGGCGACATGGGGTGAATCGGGGGGCGGTTCAGTGCCGAAAGCGGTGGAGTAATCTCGCCGGAGATTACAAGAAGATAAAGGAGTGGGAGATCCGGCGAGAGATGAGAGGGGAGCCGGAGTCGTTCTGGGCGATGAGGAACGATTTGAGGAGGGAGAGAAAGTTGCCGGGGTTCTTTGATCGGGAGGTGTATGATATACTTGACGGCGTGTCGCCGGCGGCGGCATCGTCGGCGGCGCGGGCGGCTCCGGCGGTGGAGGAAGAGGGGGATGTAGAGGAGGTGGTGTTTGATAGTGGACGGAGCGCGGCGGATGATGGGCTTTTTTCGGATTTTGAGGAGGAGAAAGAGGCGGAGGAAGGGGACGAAAGCGAGATGGAGAGGCCGACGCCGCCCGTGGAGGTCGTTCCGATTTCTGGTAAGTTTGATTTCTAGGGTTTAGTAGGGCTGATTGGGGGAATTGATCAATCCATCAATAGATGATAATTGATGTTTGAGATTGATTGTTGATTGTGTTTAGCTCTTTTTATTTCTCTATTGGTTTATTTATATTTTGAAATTTAGGGGACCAGATTTCTTTTGTTGAGATTGATCATTTTGTTGGCTTTTTCGTTTGATTGCAGAGAAGAAGTTGGAATTAGTTCAAGAGGAGGAATCTACTCCAGGTTATGCTTTGTTTCATTGAGTTTTTTTTTTTCTTAATATATTTTTGCTGCTAATTTTACCATGAAATCGACTTTTGTTTTCAAGTTATCTTCTTGTTTATCATAAGATATTCATCTGAGTTCCAACTTTGGAGTAACAACAAATTGATCAATATTAACTGTCTTCGTTGAATCAAATTTTAGAAAAAATACATTTTAAGAAACGTCTCTATTAAGGATAAAAACTTGTTGTTATACTAATATTTGCTTTTCCTCCATGCTACGAAACAGCCCCTTCAATGTTAAAATAGTTGTACCTCATCATTACTCAATCAGACTACTTTTCACAAAAAAAAAAGGTGGAATTGTCACAGTAAGTTAAAGGAAATTCTGTCACCACGCTGCCTTTTCTTTAAAATGACATGAATCTTCGAAAAACTTTCACAGCTGCACATATCCAGAATAAACAAAAAACAATATTTAATAGAGACGTTTCTTAAAATGTATTTTTTCTAAAATTTGATTCAACGAAGACAGTTGATATTGATCAATTTGTTGTTACTCCAAAGTTGGAACTCAGATGAATATCTTATGATAAACAAGAAGATAACTTGAAAACAAAAGTCGATTTCATGGTAAAATTAGCAGCAAAAATATATTAAGAAAAAAAAAAACTCAATGAAACAAAGCATAACCTGGAGTAGATTCCTCCTCTTGAACTAATTCCAACTTCTTCTCTGCAATCAAACGAAAAAGCCAACAAAATGATCAATCTCAACAAAAGAAATCTGGTCCCCTAAATTTCAAAATATAAATAAACCAATAGAGAAATAAAAAGAGCTAAACACAATCAACAATCAATCTCAAACATCAATTATCATCTATTGATGGATTGATCAATTCCCCCAATCAGCCCTACTAAACCCTAGAAATCAAACTTACCAGAAATCGGAACGACCTCCACGGGCGGCGTCGGCCTCTCCATCTCGCTTTCGTCCCCTTCCTCCGCCTCTTTCTCCTCCTCAAAATCCGAAAAGAGACCATCATCCGCCGCGCTCCGTCCGCTATCAAACACCACCTCCTCTACATCCCCCTCTTCCTCCACCGCCGGAGCCGCCCGCGCCGCCGACGATGCCGCCGCCGGCGACACGCCGTCAAGTATATCATACACCTCCCGATCAAAGAACCCCGGCAACTTTCTCTCCCTCCTCAAATCGTTCCTCATCGCCCAGAACGACTCCGGCTCCCCTCTCATCTCTCGCCGGATCTCCCACTCCTTTATCTTCTTGTAATCTCCGGCGAGATTACTCCACCGCTTTCGGCACTGAACCGCCCCCCGATTCACCCCATGTCGCCGACAGTAAGTCGAAACTGCCGCCCACTTCGGCTCCGCCGCCGCCGCCGACGTCGACGCGCGCCCTAACCAACTAAACATCCCCTAATAGCCAAGCCTTCTAATTTCCATAAGCCTACAACTTACTATTTATGATGGAACAAAAAAAGCTGAGAGGTAAGCTTACCATAGTTGTATCCTATTCCATAAGTAGAAGTTGGCGGTGCCTTATCAATCCAATTGAATGAAAGGGATATCCCTTCACCTCTCCCTTATTCAATTGCACAAAAGAAGGTATGCAAATAGAGCCCTTCAAAAGGACATTCTAATCCATATCATCCAAATCGTTCTTGTAATCTCCCTCCTCAAATCGTTCCTCATCGCCCAGAACGACTCCGGCTCCCCTCTCATCTCTCGCCAGATCTCCCACTCCTTTATCTTCTTGTAATCTCAGGTGAGATTACTCCACCGCTTTCGTTCAATTGGATTACAAGAACGATTTGGATGATATGAATTAGAATGTCCTTTTGAAGGGCTCTATTTGCATACCTTCTTTTGTGCAATTGAATAAGGGAGAGGTGAAGGGATATCCCTTTCATTCAATTGGATTGATAAGGCACCGCCAACTTCTACTTATGGAATAGGATACAACTATGGTAAGCTTACCTCTCAGCTTTTTTTGTTCCATCATAAATAGTAAGTTGTAGGCTTATGGAAATTTGAAGGCTTGGCTATTAGGGGATGTTTAGTTGGTAAAAAAATAGAAATGCTACTTAAAATGAATGTTAGTTCTATTCCTCTTTTGCTGGATGATTTGTCCTTTCCTTTGAACCCTCCTACCCATCTTGAGGGTGTTAAGGATGGTTGTACTGGTTTTAAGAATAATATTTCTACTGTGGAAGATGGTGTTCTTTTAATGGAAGGTGAGATGCCTCCTCCTAAGGGGACTGCAGGAACTTTAAATGATAGCAAGCTTCTCTTAACTGATCATTATCATTGTGATGCTTATACTGACACGGAGGTGGATATTTTGGCTAAATGTTATGGGAGAGAAGAACATGATTTGAATTTCTCTAAGGGTCGTGGTAAGAGAGGTAGAAAACCCAAAAATATGTTTTTGTCTCCTAGAAATACCCATTCATACACTTCACATTAATCTTATTTTTATGTTTAACTCAATCATTTGGAATGTTCGGGGTATTGGTTTCCCTTCTTCTAAGCTTATAGTGAAAAATTTATGTCGCATTCATAATGTTTCAATTCTTTTTTTGCTTGAACCTCTTATTTCTGTGGATAAATTACTTAGTACTGCTAAATTTTTGGGATTTAAATTTTCTATATCTAATATTGCCAATAAAATTTTTATTTTATAGAAGGACTATGTTAGAATTGATATCATTGGGGATTTTACTCAAGTTCTACATTGTAATATCGACAGTTCTAATTTTTAATGTTATGCTTCTTTTGTTTATGCTGCTTCCTTTCATTATACTAGAAGGATATTATGGGAGCAAATCTATCATTTTCATAATATTTGCAACCTTTCGTGGCTTGTGGGTGGAGATTTTAATACTATTTCTAATCCGTCTGAGCGCATTGAGGCTCTCGCCCTATTTATCAATCCATGGAGGACTTTAATGGCATGATTATGGAATGCAATCTTATTGATATTGGTTTTTCTGGTAATAATTTTACTTGACATCGTGGTCATTTGTGGCAAAGATTAGATAGAGTTCTTTTTAATAATATTTAGCTTAACTCTTTGATTTGATCAAGGTTGAACACCTTAGCCGTACTCTGTCTGATCATTCTCCTCTTCTTATTAAAATTAAGAATGATAATAGGGCTTTTCCTTCCTAGTTTAGATTTTAAAATATGTGGTTGCTTCATTCTTCTTTTTTTGATGTTATTCAGAATAATTGGCATGCTCCTCTTTTCCCTGATGATTCTATATCAGGTATGCATAGACTTTGTCTTAAACTGAAAAAGCTTAAACTTCTTTTTGAATTGGTAGAATCATAATGTTTTTAAAAATTTGTTTTCTAACATTCTATCTGCTGAAGATTGAGTGAATTCTTCTGAAAATCTTTATCAGTTGAACCCTTTTGAGTTCAATTTTAATCTGTTGAAACAGACCAAAGTGGAGCTTTGTAAGCTTCAAGCTCAAGAAGATGTCTTTTGGAAATAGAAAGCGATTGCTAGCACTTGGTGGAAGGTTATAATAACACTAAATATTTTCATGCTTTGGTTAAGAAGAAGCATTTTATTAATTTCATTCATAAAATTGCTCGTGAGGATGGGCCAGTTTCTGAGGATAATAAGGAGATTGTTAATCTTGTTGTTTCTTATTTTCAGAATCATCTTAATAAGTCGTTTAATCCCTCTATTTTTCCTAATCCATCCTTTATTCCTAATTTGGTTTCGGATGAGGGTAATTTTAATTTAACTAAATCTCTTTCTCTTGAGGAGGTGAAAGACATTTTATTTGGTATGAATGCTGATTCTATTGCTGGTTCGGATGGCTATACTAATAAATTCTTTTAGAAAACTTGGACTATTATTTATAATGATATATTTTTTGTCGTGACCGACTTTTTCAATGCTACTACTATTCCCAAGTTCTTATCGTCTACTTCGATTGCGCTTATTCCCAAGAACAATGCTATGAATTCCATGAATAATTTTAGACCTATTAGTTTGTGCACTATTTTCTATAAATTGCTCTCTAAAATTCTTATGAATAGTTTAACGTTTCTCTTGCCTAGACTTATATCTCCTTTTCAAATGGGTTTTGTCAAAGGTAGGGCTATCTCGGATAATATCCTATTGGCTCAGAAATTTTGTAATGATTTGGATATTAAGTGTCATGGTGGTAACATGATCATGAAATTAGATATTTCGAAGGCTTATGACAATATTAATTGGAATTTTATTTATCATATTTTGAGTTTATTTGGTTTTGATCTTTCTTTTATCAACCTCATTAAATCTTATATTGAAAGCCCTTTTTTCTCCATTTTGGTGAATGGTAAGTGTCATGGTTTCTTTAGGGCCACTCATGGGCTGAGACAAGGGGATCACATCTCTCCTGCTCTTTTTGTAATTGATGCGGATTACCTTTCTAAGGGTATTGATCACATTTTAAAAAAAATGTCCTGGTCTCTATTTCAGAACCTTAGGTGGTATTAAAATCTCTCATTTATGTTTAGTAGATGATTTCATTATTTTTTTGAATGCTAGCATAACTAGGAATGATAAGATCATGAACTTGTTTGATTAATTTGAATCTGTTAGTGGTTTGGCTTTCAATAAACTTAAGAGCTGCTTTATTATCGATAAGAAAATATATTCTAATCAGGTTGCGGATATTAAGAATCTTATTGGTTTTACTCAAGGTGCTTTGACTTTAAAATATATGGGCATTCCTTTGTATAAGGGTAGAAGGAAGTCTTTCCTCTTTGATGACTTAATTTCTGTTGTACAGAACAGATTGTCTTCTTCGGACTCGATCTTTTTAAGCTTTGGTGGTCTCGTGCTTTGCTCGATTCCGGTTTATAGTTTTCAAAACCTTTTTCCTACTAAAACTGTTTGTCATAAAATTGATAGAATTTTCAATAATTTTGTTTGGAAAGGCTCTGGGAATAATTCTAAGATTCATTGTTCTTCTTGGAGCAAATGTTGTGGGACTTTCAAACAATGGGCTTTAGGTTGTAAGCCTATGTTTGATTTGGCTTTGGCTTTTTCTTGCAAGCTTTGGTTTAAGCTTAGAAATAATGATAATCTCTAGGCCAATTTTATGATGGTTAAGTAATGTGGGGGAGACATCCTTCTTTATGTGGTTTTGCTAAAAGGTCACTCTAAAATTTGGCATCATCTTTTGCTTAATTAAATGGAAGGTTGAGCCTTATCTGGCTTGGGGGCTTAGTTATGGCAACATTTCTTGTTACAAGATCGTTAGATAAATGGCCAGTCGATCGATTCCTTATTAAATTCTATTTCTATTGCTAAGGTGAAGGTTAACTACTTTTTTCTAATCATGCTTGGGACTTGGAGAAACTTTCTTCTTTTCTTCCTAATTGCATTATTCAACTTATTTTAAATATTATTTTAAACACTTCTTCTAAGGATGTCTTGCTCTGTTCTTTTTCTAAAGATGGCACTATTTCAGTTAAGAATGCATGGCTTTTCATTAGAGATAAAAAGTAGTCTTCTAAGTTTTTTAAAATGATTTTGCACAATTCTATCCCTTATACGGTTTCTATTTTAGCTTGGAGATTTCTTCACAAGCTTATTCCTACAGATGAAAATTTGAGGAAAAGAGCTTTTATTTTTCCTTCTAAATGTCAATATTGTTTTCATGTTGAAAATATGCACCATGTCTTCATCTCGGGCCCTATAGCTGTTAAGGTTTGGACTCACAGCTTTGAGGACATTTTGCATTTTAACTTTTATTCTAGTTCTACTTTATATTATCTGCTTGATTATTGGCTTGTTAAGGCCAAAGGGCATGTCCTTAATGTTATTCTGTTTCTTATTCTTTGGTTTCTATGGATTGAGAGAAATGATTCTCGGTTTAACGGTGTTGTGAAGAATTATAAGTGAATTATTCAAAAAATCAAGGATAAAGTGGCTTCTCTTTTTTATACTCAGTTACTTTCCTTTAAGTACTTTAAGAATTTTCAATTTATTTGTCCTAGCTTTGGTATTATTTTGGTGTTTAATAATTCCTATAAGGTTAATAGATGTATTTCTTGGGCTAAACCTTCTAATTTTGTCAAGTTGAATGTGGCTAGCGTTAGAATGGGTAATATTGCTGGCTATGGTGGTGTTTTGAAGGATCATAAAGGCTCCTATTTGTGGGGTTTTGCTGGGCCCGTTGAGCATGATGATATTAGTTTTGCTAAGTTTGTTGATGTGCTTCATGGCTTACAACTTTGTGTTAATCTTTAATTGGTTGATATTGTGCTAGAAGTGGATTTTGATTTCAAGGCCATCCAGGGTATGGGTGATTACACTTGCTCTTCAGCTTTTTTTTAATAATCAGAGGGATATTAGAGGCATCTTAAACTTACTTAACTGCTATTTTTCTAATATTCTTGTTG